TATGGTTATCGAATATGCTTCATCAATGATAATGTATTCACATTTCAACCTAGACTTAAAGATTAGATGTATTATTATGAAATCAATAATACTAATTAATAATATACAAAGACAAAAGAAATTGTTGTCAAAAGTGATCATAATGGATGTGATTATTACTTTCCTTAGTAATATATAAAGTCGAAATGCTTACTTGTGAATAAGAATGGATAAAATGTTAATTTGATAAGGAAGAACCAAAATGCTGATTTTATAACATAATAATCTATTCAATTTGGACATAATGGTATATATGGATAGATAAGTGAAGATGGATAATATTTGATGACTTGGGATTATAATTCTAAAGAAATTTAAATTAGAAAATATAATGAGGAATGAATTAAAATTATTAGAAATTATTATTATCATTATTATTATTCAAATATTTAATATTCTTAAAAGTATTTATAAATTATTATTAAAAGATTAAATCTAAAATTTAGAAGAGATAGTTGATCATAAAATTCATAAAATCATTAATGTAATATATGTTTTGAACATCTTTTGAAGAATTACAGAAATTGAGCTAAAAAAAACTTTTTGAATGTTAAAATAAAATTTTATTAGGAAAATTTCCAAAGATATTACAAAAATAAAATAACCTACATATAGTTATAAAAATTAAATAATTTTCATAAGTATTTGAAAAAGAATACTCAAATTAAATGTAAAGATTGTTAATATTAGCATATTATACAAAAAACACAGAAAGATGAGGAAATACTCAGGTAATTTATCCCAAAAATAAAGTATATCATAAAATAGATTTTTTAATGTTTGAAATATAACTATTTAGCAATATAATAAATTATAATAAATAAGTTTTGAATAAATTAACTATTAATTCTATTAATTTGAATAATAATTATATATTTATCATGTAATATGAAATATCATTCAAATATTTATTTTCCAATATTATAATAAATTATTGTTCATTCAACATAAGAACTCTTTGTAATATATTCTTTTTAAACATTATATCTATCCCGAAAGTTTATTCAAACCAAAAATTGCATCATCATATATACAAATTTATCATCATCTGATATCAGAAAAGTTTTAGTGTGTAGGATCAGGCATATTTTCTAGAATCAGGCTTTAATTGATGAGTTTTAGATTATAACAGAAAGAATTACTTCAATATCCATAAGAAATAATAAAAGGAAATCAAAGTTTAAGAATCTGATTTTGGTTAATAAATTCATTAATATTTTTCAACTAGGAAAGCAGATATTAAGAGATAATTAAGAATTTTATTAAAAGGTAACTTATGGTAATTGGTTTTGGACCTTAAACTACCGGTGTCTTTTATTTGAACATTAACAAGAAAATTATATATTTTAGCCATCGACAGAGGAAAGATTAGGGAATATTTTTGTAGATTAGCTGATTTTAATAAAGAAATATGATTTAAATGAGCATAAGAGCTTAGGCTAAAAGATTTGATTAATATGGATTTTTTTAAAAGAAAGAATTAAAATGTATTTAATTAAAATTATTATACTAGTAATTTAATATAAAATTAAATAAAGAGAGATAAAAGTTAGAATTATAAATATTTAGAAAATGGATGAAGGAAGATTAATCAATTATAAAGAGATAATATATCAATTTATTAAGAGCATAGTAGCATTAGAATGGAATTAAGTGAGGAGGAATATCTAGTGAGACCTGGCATCATAACAGAGAAATTTCGGATAAGAATTTGAAGATCATATTTAAAAAGGAAATAGACTCTTTTGAGAATGAGATATACATTTATGACGGATGGATAATTCGAAAGATTTAATAAATCTGTATCCAATTATGTTATTCATCTGAATATTATTAGAATTATTTTTATAATAACTTTGTTGAAGAATAACTCTTTCCTCAATTTTAATTTGGATGAAAGGTACACATTTTATATATTTTTACGATGAGATTAATTCATCAAAACAAAAAAAGCAACATTTGAGATATGAGACTTATAATGTTTTAGAGTCATCTTAATAAATTTATTGATTAGATATATTCCAGTAGGTTTAATAAAACTGTGTAGTAAGATTGATATGTTTATAAAGGAATTTAAAATTAGAAATGTAAGGATTAGTAGAATAAACCATAAGAGAGAGGAGAGAATTAAAAGTTTCTGTTAATTATAACTGATAATAAGATAAAAACAAATTCGAGGTGTAAAGAGATGTGGATTGTTCAAAATGCGAATTCTACCCTAAAGTCGAAAACAATAAGTTCTATCAAGTTGATTTTAATAAGGGAGGATTGACTCATATAAAACCATTAAACATAAAATGGGCAATATATTAGGGGATGATATTTTAATGAATACTGAATATTTTATATATCTTTGGATTATATGTCAAATCTCTATTTTTAAAGATTGAGAACCATTTAGTTTGGAATATTTAATTAATAATATTGATATTTTATTATTAATTTTTTTTGTATAGAAGTTATGGAAATGTAAATATCAAAATATAACCAACTATTATTATAAGATATTAAATTCCAATTAAGACAATCAAGCTACTACATCATGTAATTCAATATGCCTGTTGATATAATATTTTAAAGTAACCTTAATTCAGACATTCAAAATTATCACTAAGAATATTAATCATCATTGTAAAACTATAAAACATTAATTTTTCCTAAATTATCTAGACTATGGTTAATACAATTAAGAATAAAATATTAAACATTTATGGACCTTTCTCTTGATTCTAATTATTTTTTCTATCAAAACATTAGATTCTTATTCTAGAAATCTATCATCAAGTTTCAAATATATTCTAAAATTAATTGTAGTATTATATATTTATTATTTTGAGTTATGAAAAGATACTATTTTTTATAGTTGCATAATTTACTCTAGGTAGTTACCTTTTCAATTATCATTGTTACTATTTATTCATGATTTTTCTTTCTATATTTTACATTAAATTACCATTCTGAATCTAGTTTTTATTTTCCAATAAATTTAAGTAATTAAATTAAAATAATAAATAAACTAAATTTAGTTTAAGCAAGATTAATCTTTAACTTTATTACCCTATTATAACTTTTCAAAATTCATTTTGGATCAATCAATAGCATTTGATTAACAAAACCAAAGGTTTCTTCTAATTTCTTGTCGAATATAATATTATTACAAAAAAGGTGATCGAACTAAATTTAATCATTTGCATAAAATTGATTAATACGCATATATCTTATTAGCGTTTATTTCAATAAAATTTTGTAAAATAAATTGTTTAATTCCCATTTTAACATAATTCAAATTTATCAAATTCTAAATATATTCAATATAAAAAT